AAAATTTGCGTGAATTATTTTCTTAAGATTGATTATTTTATTTAGGAACAAAATTGCAGTAATGTGGTTGCAAACTTTAATAATGACTCATGCAGCGCACTTAATGTCGCGGCCAGATATCGCAGAGATACTCAGCCCTATCCTTAGTTTTATTGATGCAAAGTTAGCACTTCTAACAGCTATACAAAGATTAAAAGGCAGAGTTTCTCTTATAACAGGACAAATATCTCAGGCTAATGAGGAACACAACAAGGACATAACTGAGGAAAGCTTGCTTGTTTACCAAGATCCAGGTTAATATGGCATACCGATTTCCAAAATTTTATCGAATTAACATATTAAATTACGTCATCAAAAATGTATGCAGATTCATCGGATGAAGGTGCCGATAAAGACGATGTTGATCTAAGCAGCGAATCCGATGACAATTGGGAAGAGATGTCCAATCAAGATATTCAAGATGAACATGATGAAGAAGATAACAAAAGCGTTAAATTTGATGATGATGATGTGGACGATAATGAGTCTATACACAGCTGAAATCTATCAAATTGGTTGGTAATGATTTGTTTACTATTAATTTACTAAAATAGATTAAGTAAAAAAGAATTATAATTTAAGGAATATTAGCTGAATATGGTTACTTTTATTTTCTAAAAATTTCATATTAATATGCTAATAACTTAATATTTAGTTTTTACTAAAATAATACAGAAAAATAAAGTAATAAAAAATTAAAATAATATAAATTTTATGTTTAGGTATATTCGGAATGGATTTCGATCAAAAATATTTTATTTTCAGAGAAGAGATTACGATAGAAATCTAGGGAATAACTGAACGATTCCGATCGGAATCTGTTCCGAATAATTTTATGATACTTGCCCTGCACAATGTATTATACTGTTCATATCATTTATTTGTAAACTATATTTAAACGTAAAAAAGAATGAGTTTTTTTATATTTCAATTATTATTTTCAGTAAAAATTTTGATTATTACTACTATGGAATCATTCTTGATGAAAGACAGATGTAATAAAGATGGTGCTGTAAAAAGTAATATCTCTTTCTTCATGAAACATTTATTTTCACTATTATGAGGATTTGGATGAAAATACAGCATTCTTTAATAAAGAAATCATGAAAGCTACGTTTTTCTTGTTCATAACAATCATCCTTGTATACCTAATATTTTTAAGATTTATATGAATAACAAATAAGTAATATGATTTTTTAAATATATCTTTTCTCGTTCATCCATCCATCAATTAAATCTAATAATATTACATTTAAATACAAATAATACGACTAGGTCCATCGGTCGGCGGCCTGGTCTGCGACTCTTTCGCAGAACTTCCGCTACCAGAGTCACACGTACACGTACAGCTTGTGCTTGTGTGTGTGCTACCGGTTGCGCCAGGCCGCCGTCCGATGGAGCTAGTCGCGATGTAAACCGTAACAGAAAATTGGCATCTCTGGTTTAAATATCGCTGAAAGTGATTCAGTCCTCAGGTTCTCACAGGTTAGGTTTCTCGACGCCAAAGAGATTTTCCAATCGATTGAAAATGAATCGCGATAAGCTGTTTTTCCGAAATATGCTTCTTCACTACTTCGACCTCAAGAAAACCGCAGCTGAAGCGCATCGCTTATTATCTGAAGTGTATGGTGATGAGACTCCATCGGATACAACATGTAGAGTTTGGTATGAACGCTTTCGAAACGGTGATTTTGACGTGAGAGATAAAGAACGTCTTGGACCGCCGAAAAAATTTGAAGATGTCGAGCTGCAAGAATTGCTTAATGAGAATCCAGCTCAAACGCTTTTAGAGTTGTCGAAACAGTTAAATGTTACTCCAAAGGCCGTCTCAAAACGCTTGCGTGCCAAGGGAAAGATATATAAGGAAGGGAGATGGCTACCACACGAGTTGTCAGAAAGTGCCATTTTGAATCGTTTGACTATTGCGACTTCTTTGCTTGTCAGGCAAAGAAAAAAGAGTTTTTTGTGGCGCATCGTGACTGGCGATGAAAAATGGATTTATTTTGATAATCCCAAGCTGAAAGAATCAGGTGCGGACCCCGGTCAACCATCCGCTTCAACACCGAAGAATATTCACGGGCACAAGACCTTGCTGTGCGTTTGGTGGGACCAGGAAGGTGTGCTGTATTACGAACTCTTGGGTCCAGATGAAACCGTTACAGCTGATCGCTACAAACAGCAATTACACCGATTGCGTGACGAATTGATGCAAAAAAGATCATCCGTAGCCAACAATCGACGCAAAGTCATTTTGTTATATGATAACGCTCGACCGCATGTTGCGGAAAGCATGAAGCAAACACTTTCACAACTTGAATGGGAAATCCTCCCGCATCCAGCCGACTCTCCAGACTTGGCACCGTCGGATTACCATCTCTTCCAATCAATGCAACACGCACTTACGCACACACGCTTCTCCAGTCACAACGAAGTCCAAAAATGGGTGGATGAATGGATCGCCTCGAAAGACATCGCGTTTTACCGTCGTGGGATTGCCTTGTTGCCAGAGAGATGGGAAAAAGTAGTAGAAAATGGAGGAGATTACTTTGATTAAGGTATTCATTCATCTTCCCTTCGAAACAAATCAATTTTGGAGACGAAAAAACGGCAGGAATTAAGTTCAACATCTAACATGTTTATAAATAAACATAAAAGTTAGTGTACAACGGCTTTAATATGCACCAGTGTACACTAATGCATCCAATCGAATTCGCCATAAAATGGTCAACTGGATTGCAGTGAAGAAAAAACTTGCCCCCCCCCCCTCCTTCTGTATAGAAGACTTTCATAATTAATTACCGTTTAGAATCCTATTTCATGCAAGTAATGCGAACTAAAAAAATTTTTTTTAATAAAGAATATTGAAAAATAATGTGTCTTACAAATATTTATTTCTGTCTTTTCTGAATCTGCCTTATTTCCTCATACATTTCGATTACATCCATTATCTTAATTATTAATTACCAATTAAATACAATACAATTCATTCAATAATGTACTTTTTTCCGAGTAATTGTATCAAAAAAGTATATTCGGTAATACATATTTTAATATAATAATTTCATATTTTCTTTAACGGATAGGGCACATTGCGTTTTCTCCGTAACACTCTGGACTTCCGTGACTGCAATCAATTTTTTTTTATTTTGATATCTAATTTTTAAAAAACTGGACTATTAAAAAAATTTTAAAGCTGCATTTTCACCTTTTCATCTGACACTAAAAATGAGCGTCGTAGCGTCAGATGAAAATGCAGACTAAAAATATTTACTTTGAATAATCTTTTAAGAGACTATTCAAAAAGCAAATATATATACACACATAACTCGTCACTTTGCGATTAAAATAATTTGACTTTGATAACTGTTCTTTGATAATGACAATTGTTACTGAACGATTATATATTATTTGTTCAAGCAGAATTTTTTTATTAAATCACAAAATTAACTGATCAATCAAAGAGAGAATTAAAATGATTATTTAGTTAATGAATATGTATAAATTTTGTAAAAATTACAAATTTGTACGTATATAATTTTCAACATAATTTTTACAAAATTTATACATATTCATTAACTAAATAATCATTTTAATTCTCTCTTTGATTGATCAGTTAATTTTGTGATTTAATAAAAAAATTCTGCTTGAACAAATAATATATAATCGTTCAGTAACAATTGTCATTATCAAAGAACAGTTATCAAAGTCAAATTATTTTAATCGCAAAGTGACGAGTTATGTGTGTATATACATTTGCTATCGCATTATACACGAAAAGTGCATGCAAATTAAGTAACTGTTGCTTGTTGATTGATAATAATACATGATTAACAATACAAACAGTTTTGCGAATGTTTATAATTAATATTTTGATTTTCAGTATAATTCTCAATTGTTTGAAAAGATATCATTGGCATAGAAAAATATAAAGCATTATTTGTGTTGTATAAAATATACATATACATATATTGTAATTTGTATTATTTTTTCGCTTGGTTAATTTTTGTTAAATATTTGAAGTATTTTCTAGAAACTAATTTTATGATATTAAAGTTTTTGAACATTTTTAGAGACAATTATTAACTACACTTTTTTTATGCTCAAGATTATTAAATTATAAACTATAACATTAATTTAACTTTTACACAAAGTGATTTCGTTGAATTTATTATTTCAGTTTCAAGTGAGTTGCAAAATTCATCCATAGTGATAAATATTCAGAGTCATAAATATTTTGATTCTTTGAATATTTATCCAGACAGCACATAATATTTATAAAATATTTACAAAATATTTATTGTAAATGTATAATCAATGCTATGAAAATACTTAATGAGACATTATAATCCAAGTAAAAAATATTTATTCGAAATATTTATTTATATTTATCATAAATATTACATAAAATATTAAGTCTATATTTTAATAATATTTCGAATAAAGCTTTATGTAAAATGTGTATGAAATATCTATATAACATTTCAAAAAATGAATATTAACAAATATTTATCATAAATATTCTGTGGTGTCTGGGTACGCAGATTTCGACAGACGTTTCGATTGACTTGAATGTATTGTATCATGGAACAAATTGGAACAAAGACAAGAATGAAAGACATGAAACAAAAACAAAATAATTCTGATCGGAATTCCGACTTATTCCATGATAGATACCCTGGAACATATGTAGGTACATATATTTTGAAATTAAGGGAGAAAAGGTAATTATTTTCCAATTGAAATAAAAATAGCATGAGGTGGAGTGTAATCAACAAATATGAATCCCGGATTTACATCATGTCAAAGGGTAGACGATTACCAATAAAGATAATTATTAAAAAATAACAGAAAGATTAGTTATTATCGGTATACTGGTTACCTCATAGCTTTTTTAATCATGCACTCCGAACTTTTGTATATCTTCGTCGATAGAGAGTATATAAAGCAATTAACGAATAGCACCAGTCGATCCTTTGCGAAGTAAGCACGAGGATGAAAGTGATTGCGTTACTCTTGGCTACGGCATGCCTGGTCCATGCCACGCAGGTGCCCACTCAGACCGCCGACAAGACATACCTTCTTAAGCAGAAGAGCATCTATGAGCTCTTCTGGCATGTTGATCAACCAACTGTCTACCATCCGGAACTTTACCAAAAAGCGCGATCCTTCAGCCTCGAAGATAACATTGCTTCTTTTACCGATCAGGTACTTGTTACAGTGGTTTTTATACCATACATTTTAATCTCTGTATTAATTTTTATAAATTACAATTTTAATTTTTGTTTCTATAAGGAAATATTAATTTTCCTATCTTTTTTTATTTAATCTCGTAATAAAATCATAAATTTTGAAAATAACATAAAAATTGTTTGTATATAGCTGTAAAAGAAGATCATGTAATGTTGAATTATATATATGTCTGAATAAAGCAGAAAGCAAAGAGAGAGTATCAAGATAATTTTTATATTACGATTCGAAATAATGAAACGACTTTTTTTTTTAGATTTGTGTTTATTAAAAGATCCTTTTTATTATTTTATAATGGCTATTACAGTTTTTAACTTTAAAGTTTGACAGAAAGTTTTCTGTACACTTCTCGTACATCGCATACATAGAAAAACTATTAAAATCTCGAACAAGTTGGTTTTCTGATTCAATTTAATTAAAAAAAAAAGTAAAATAAATTTAATAATACCCGTATGTTGATTTGTTATTCTATAGGCGGCAGTGACCGAATTTCTGCAGCGATGGAAACACGGAATGCTCCCACGAGGGGAAATGTTTTCTATAACTTATCCTCAGCATTACCAAGAAGCGGTTTGCTTCTTCCGCGTTTTATATTCCGCCAAAGATTTTGACACTTTCTACAATATTGCAGTATGGGCACGTTTCCACATGAACGAATGTATGTACAAATACGTGTTGGGTGTTGCTGTGATCCATCGACCGGATACCAATAACATCCTTCTGCCTCCTATTTACGAAATATTCCCACATTACTTCTTCAACGAGGACGTTTTGCATAAAGCCTATTGTATTGCGATGGGCGATTTGCAAGCAGGTTGGTATATTAGTCAAGAATCGAATATTTATTCATTAACACAAAAATTGTTTTATCAATGACTAAACTATTTTCAAATTTTTCTTTTATTTTACATTTATTTTTTATGTATTAAATTTTTTAAAATTAAATTATTTAAAAAATAATTATACATATATTGTTCATTAAATTTTATATATATGTATATATACTCCCAATCAAAGAAATAAAAAAATAAGTAAATATTCTTTTCCGATATCGATTTCTTTTTATTTTAAATAATTTATGAGTAATACATGAGACATTTCACTTTAAACCGACCACCATCGTCATTTTTAAATTTTTGTTAAATATTCTGACGTATTCTACAGATAAAAATATGAGATGCATATTTCGCGAACAAAATTTGAGATTTTTTTTGTGAAATTATTCACGCTTGTAAATTGCATAAATTTATAAAAAAAACGTCGTTGCGAACATTTAAATTATTATATCATCGAAACCATATTAGTCGTAGAAAAAAAAATACAAGAGACCAATTTTAAAGATCTTAAATTGTTCTATATAATGTCTTTTATTGAAATTAAGTCAAACTACTATTTTGCACTAGACAATATATAACAATTAAAAGAAAGTTACATATTAATATTAAAGTATTAATTTAAAGTTTTAAACTATTTGGTTCGGCAGGTATGAAGAAAACAATTGGTAATGTAGACTATTATTACATTCCTTCCAATTACACTAGTTGGCATATGTTTGGGAATGAAATGCCGGAACAACAAAAATTAAGCTACTTCCTTGAGGATGTCGGTTTAAACACGTTCTATTTTGCAATGAATCATAATTTCCCAATGTGGATGAACAGCACTCACTATAATATGCCCCAACACATTCGTGGCGAATCGCATATATTCAATCACAAACAAATACTCAATCGCTACTATTTGGAAAGATTGTCCAATGATATGGGTGAGATCACATACATCGATTTAAACAAGCCTATTGTTCCTGGCTACTATCCAACGATGCAGCATCACAATGGATTATCGTTCCCACAACGTCACATTGGTTCCGAGATTCCTCTTCACGCGCACAAATATATCCAGGTTGGTAAAGTTTCATTATCGATTATCAACTATCCAAGTATCCACATACAAATATCTTAAGGATAGAAATATTCAGAATTGGGAATATTAATTAAAGGAATATAATATTCTATAAAAATAATGCGTTATCGTTACTTTAAAAAGTATAACTTAATACTCGTTATTAATTTTCAAAATAAAGATTCGTTATTTTTTGTAATCTTAAAGTAATTAGATTTAAAAATTATATTTTTAATAATCAATATGAATTCTAACAATCGGTATTAAAACTTAAAAGTCTAAGTTAATCTTTTTATAGCACAAACTTTATTTTACATTAAACTTATCTAATAAATCTTCTGTAATATTTTTATATTGATATTTTTATAATATTCTTATAATATATCTTATTTCTAGGATATATATATA